GTTGATGTCATTTAATCGATCCTCATCGGATGGAATGCAAAGACAGCCACCGTTTCCGAGTGTTAAAAGCATACTGTCAATGCTGACATCGAAAGCGTAGGATGCAAAATCAAGGACCCTGGACTCCGGCGTGTATCCAACTGCCTTTGCTCGAGGGATGGCACTGCTCGTGTAGGTTTCGTGAGAAATCTTCACTCCCTTCGGAGTGCCCGTGCTGCCGGAGGTGAAGATAATGTACATAAGGGCGGAGGATGGTACAGCAGGTAAGTCGGAGATTGATGTGGAGTTTGATGGATTTGTGAAAGCCTCTTCTTCGACAACGAAGTGGTTTCCTGTTGGCAGGATCGTCAGTGACAGCTCATATTGCTTCCTGGACGCAACCATCGATTTTGCGCCGACCTGTACCGCCATATTTTGAAGGCGGGCAAGCGGGAGAGTTGGATCCATGAGCGCAAGAGTTGCGCCTGCTTTCATCACTCCGAGCACAGCGACGATCGTCCACCTGGACTTCTCGAAGCACACAGGGAGGACATCGTGGAGCTGGACGCCCATTTCTTTGAGCGAGCACGCCACGGAAGTGGACCACTGGTCAACTTGGCTATAGGTCAGGCTGCCATCCCAGGAATCAATGGCAACTTTGCCTGGGTATTCGCGAGCTCTTTCGGCGACCATCTCTTGCATGCAAAAGCTATAGGTGGGAGGCAATTCGTGGTTCCACCCCCATATATCGTTCAGGTCACTTGCAGTCGGGCGAAGACACTGTTCAATGGTGGCTTCGGGGTTTTCTAGGCATACTCTGACAGTGTCGGCAAGTGCCTCGACATGGTGATTCACTGTGTACGGCAACATGTTCTCGGTGTGCCACAATGGGCGGATCTCGAGGTGGGCATTATTGAAGCGAACTTCGAGATGAAGCATGCCCTTTTCAATTACGGTTAATTATGACTGAGCGGCTATGGGTTCAATTGTTCACTTACTTCATCTTTGGCTTCTTCGGATGTTCGCGAAAGAGAGCTGGTGCTCAAAACGAGCGATGCGGGACTTGACGCTCTCGTGGTGATATTCCGCGATATCGCAGTCGCAACTTCTCCCACATTGCTTTGTAATCCTTTCATTACTTCATTCATCAATAGTTTGTTCACTGATTCGGGCTGGGCGTCATTCGTGACATCTTTGTAGGACCAGTCGTATGATATTTGGCTGTCTTCCCGGCTGCGCAACAGGACCATGAGCCATGACAATAGCACGATCTCTTCTTTCATGCCGGTCGGAGTGGTGGTTTGTTCGGAGACAAGATCCGCGACCTGGAATGAGCTAAAGTTGCCATTCGCGTCTGTTCGCAGTTTCTCAGTTCCATTTGGCGCATTGTGGATATGGGCATCTTCGAGAGGTATGAAGCCCATTTTGACGGCTGACCAGCACAGCTGGTCTTATTACCCTCGAGTTAATGTGAGGGAGTAAATTAGAGCTTGACTGTTAAATCCGCAACCTTTGCGCGGGTCGTTTCGACGGAGGTGTGTCACTATATAGCCAACTAGCCACGGTTCTGCTGCATCATGCTCCACCTCGAGGCTTCAAAGCTCCGAAGTATCCTGCCTGTACGGAGTACGGAGGATCCATTTTGCATATCATCACCGAGATCGGCTATTGCGGGGTTATTCGACACACACCCGTTCTGGAAGGCAGAATGATACCCGAAGCATGTGGCCGTTTCATCTTTCCTGAGTGATTTGGATCCGTACGTGTACTCCGTACCTAGTAGTACATGTATGGGATACCAGATCTCCAAACATACAATACTGTACGGTACAACTTATCCACAGGCTCCACATGAGAGAAAAGAAAAAAAACGAGAAAAAGAAATGCTACGCCAAGGTTGTTTCAATGGAGCACACCCGGTTCAGTTGGGCTGTTGCACATCATCAAGGCAGAAATGAAAACTACCTATGTTGTATGCTATGAGGAAGACAGCGTGAATATGATCAACCTACTCTGAAACACATCAATGGTAACTCCGAACTCTAAAGGCATTGTTCACCGAGGTATTGGTATCGGAGGCCAACTGCTCAGGGGATCCATGATTGTGCGTCCCAAGCAGAAAAGCGCGATGGACAAGGGAAGCGAGGAACGAGGGTGGATTTTGGATTAAGACCCACCTTTAAAATCGGCTATGCGTCGTCGTGTACACTTTTCGCAATGTACCAACATAGAATGGTCCGAATACGCCACTAATAATAAATAATAATATCTGCTCTCTAGCGCAACAAGTCTGTAACAAAAAAAAGCCATTGAAGAAAAGGCCTCAGTCTATCGTGCACGTTCCTTTGATTTCTTGGCTCGCTTGCAGACAAATTTGAATGGACTCTTCCAAACGCCACAAAAAAGCCCATCCACTCGTCTATATTACTTTTGTGGTCTGAGCCAGGTTGTATAGATATTTTGGTTTGGATTTGGCACAATGCCTCGTCTCTAATTCCAGTGCATGGAATGAGATATATAACCAGGATCTCTTCAAGCAAGGATCTTCGAATATGGCCTGGTAAGGCTGACTATTAAGTTCACCAAGACTTCCTAAGCATGTCAAGAAAGTCTTGTTTCGAAGTGCCGATTGTCGAGCACGTCGGGTAGAGTTTTCAAAGAGGGTCCATCTAATCAGATTCTCATGTTCTCAGCCAATCAATCTAATCAGATCCGTTGATCTTACCGATAACGGCTAGTGTCGACTAGCCTACAAGTGCCCCACAGCTTTGGACTTGCCGGTGGGGTTTAATTGGCCCATCGTTATTTCCCGCCCAAGCTTCGTCTAATTACTAGCGGTACTGGTGAGACCGAGCTTTTATTGTTGTATTTACCGTTAAGATGAAATACATACCGTGGTATCAATATACGGTATTTCCTGGACGGGCCTATTGAAATACATGTACCTGGTTCAAGACATCCGTACATATAATTTCCTCAAAAAGCCAGCATTTTCCTTCCTAAATTGGACCTTAGCGCTGAACATTCCATGGAAGTGAGACTTGTTACCTAATATTTCGGCTTCGGTATAATCAGATTGATAAGATGGCCTGAAACAGTTCACCTGGTGGATCGAGGTCGGTGCAAGCTAACATAAATTGTCCACATTCCTTTATAGCGGAAAGACACAAAGCCCGATCTCGGCAATTGTTCGATTAAAAGATCCTGTCCCAGAAGCCTTTCTAGCTCCGTGAAAGTTTTCCATTCATTTGACACCTACACACTACCACACCTATACACTCTTTCACCAACATGTCTAAGTTCTGGCCTAAGGGAGGCCTTCCCGGTATTCTGCACCACTACGTACGTTCCTGCTCTATCAACAATAACACTCAAACCACAACTAACAATTGCTCACCTGTAGACCGAAACCCTCGTCACATTCGAATATGCCACCAGCACCGCCCGCCAACCACACAGCCTCCTCTTCGTCGGCGGACTCGGCGACGGCCTAGCAACAACATCCTACATGGCCGATCTCGCGCGCGCACTACAGCAAACAGAATGGTCCCTCTTCACCCTAAACCTCACATCCTCCTACCAATCCTGGGGTCTTGGCCATCTCGACCGCGACACGAACGAGATCGCCCAATGTCTGGACTACATCAAAAGCTACAAAGCCGATAAATTTGGCGGCGGCAAGATCGCCCTGATGGGCCATTCCACGGGCAGCCAGTGCGTGCTACACTACCTATCCCAGTCAAACCCGCACACGAAGGTGCCGGCCTTCGACGCCGATATCGAACACATCACGCGGCCTGTGCTGGACGGCGCGATCATGCAAGCGCCTGTTTCTGATCGCGAGGCGATCTTCTGCGTCTTGAGGGGTGGTATTGGTGATACGACGCCGGAGAAGGCTCGTGCTGTATATGATGAGATGGAGGCGCTGGCTAAGCAGGCTGTTGCTGAGGGCAAGCCTCATGATACTATGTTGCCACTTTCTTTGACTTCTATGATTTATCCGGCGAATACCCCGATTAGCTGTCGGAGATTCTTGAGTCTTGTTAGTCCGGAGAGTCCGCAGTCGCCGCAGGAGGATGATTTGTTCAGCTCGGATCTGAGTGATGAGCACTTTGCGACTACGTTTGGTATGATTCAGCAGCGGGGACTGTTGAATCATAAGTTGATGGTGTTGATCTCTGGGAAGGATCAGTCGGTTCCGGATTATGTTGATAAGGAGAAGATGCTGGCTAGGTGGCAGAAGGCTACTGACCATGATGGCAAATATCAGATTTGGGATCAAAAGCACACTGGGGTCATTCCTAATGCTTCTCATGCTTTGAGTAATGATGACCAAGCTGAGCCGCGGAGGTTCCTGGTTGAGAGGGTCTTGGGATACCTCAAGACGGCTGTGGAGAAGGTTTGAATGAATTGCAATGAAATGTATGATACTATATTAAATGAAGGAATTATATACCATTTAACATGCTTGTCAGCCGCGTGCAACATACAAGGTCGATAAATCCTCAAGTCGACTCTCACGAGTCTCCCAGTTGCACACGAGTACGTGGTCAATAGTCAATTCTTCGTGCCGTTTATAGGAGCTTGGAGGGTTATCTTGAGAGTATAAGAATATCACCTCTTAGCCCTACCACAAACTGAAGTCACTTGTAATGAGGAAAGACTATGCCTGGTTTGAGTAGTCTACACGACAATAACAGCTAGTATAGCGAGTGGTGTATCCTTTGGAATTGAAAAGAATAGAGTACATACGTGGAAGACGAAAAACCAACTCAAGGGTTTCTAACAAAAAAGAAAAAGAAAAGATCGAAATAGACATGAGACGCTCAAATGCACCGAGTGGTATCTAGTCGTCAACAGCAGAAATGATAAGAGAGTCCAGAGAAGAGAAGAAAAGCCCCGGAAAGGGATGTGTAGGAAATGGTAGGTAGAGTAGATGTAGGTAAATGGGACAAAAAGGAAATAAGGAGAGCCTAAGTCAAGGCAAGGTGAATGTATAGAGAAAGGAAGGGAAATGGTGTTTAGAACATGCCTCCTTCAACGGGGATAGCGGGAGGCGGGTATTGAGGAATAGCCGGAGGGGTGCCGGTCATGGATCCCTGTCGCGCCCGCGCGTTCAGGTTACCAGCCTCACTCGAAGTCTTGCGGAGACGATTGCGGGACCGCGGACGTTTTTCTTCATCTGGAAAGACACTGTGTTCGTCCCCGGCGCTCGGGACGGGGGAAGCGACCCGTGAAGAGTCGTTCTTGTCGCTCTTGAACGCACCCAGGATGGTTTGAGTGGCGGTTCCGCGGCGACGGCGGGGGTTCATCGGTGGCACTGGAGGTGCGCCGCTGGGTGAAGGCAGCGCGGATCCAGGGGGGAGGCCGACGAGAGGGACGTTTGATGTGGATGAGACAAACGTGGGCTCGGAGATCTGCTTCTTGTTCACGGGGCGCTTCAGGGAGGAGCCTTGTCCCAGACCACGCTGGGGAATCTGCGGACCGCTGGATGAAGAAGCCAGGGATGTAGACGAGCTGTCTGACGGCATTTCATTCAGCGGAGGAGTGGCATTGGCAGAGTACGCCGGGGCAGCGGGTGGGGCCCGGGGGGAAGCACCGATGATCGAGGACGTGTTGGACTGCGAGAACTGGAATGGCCGCTCGTATTGGAAGTTTGGCGTACCGGATCGGCTGTTACTGCGGTATCTGCCCGAAGCGGCAGAGGGAGCGCGGTCGAAGTTCGCAGGTTCACACATTTCTGCTGATGGGCGACTCGACGTAGGCCGTGAGATAGGCACGGGAGGCTCATAGCCCTCAGGGACAACGAATTTTTCATGTGCAATGATTGATCCCTCATCCACAGTTTCAAGGTCATCCCTTTCACGAAGCCTGGTTCGACTCTTGGACCGGCCTGATGCATCCGAGCCTGCACGATCTCTCTGGGTTCGGAAAGGTGAGTGGCCACGGCTGCGGCTGGACTCGCGTGAACCTTCGTAGCTATTGTCGCGGCTGAGAGATGGCATACGAGACCTGAGCGAACGCTCTGGTCCAATATGCGGAGAGCTGGAGTTGGAGTGCCGGCCGAAGCTAAAAGAGGGCCGCTCCTCTTCACGCCACGAGTCATCTGAAGAGAGAGCAGGCGTGGACGAATTGCCACCAGCATAACCGAACAACTTCTTCTGGTCCGACTTGCCACCAATCTGTTTGCTAGACTTTTGCTTCAACATGGCAAATGCGTTACCAGCCCTGGCCAAGTCTGGAGTTGACCGGCCTGGAGTGGGACTGCTGGATCGGCTGTCGCTCTCAGCAACACTTCGTAGCTTCTCCTGCACCTTTCTACGCCTCTCTGCCAGCTCGATGGCGAATTCCTCTCGCTCCCTTTGGGTCTCAGTGCTCCCATGACGGCGATGGTGAAGTTCCAACTCCTCCCTCCAGGACGAGCCGTTCGATACAGAAGCTGTGTCAGGAATAGTTCCAGGTGCGGATGACTCTTGGCTATTTCGAGAACGCGTACCCTCCGCAGAATGTCCGGAAGGAGCGTGCGAGCTCGATGTTCCTGGGCGACTTCCTGATGATGGCCGACTCTCTCCGCGAGGTTGTGTTATCGTGGGAACATCATTCGATGGCTGGGGGGGTCGATTTCTGGGTCTCCTCCCCAGGGGGGTGACTATCGTTCTGGTGCTCCGGCAAGCGAGGTGAAGGAGGGGAGATGGCTGATTTCTCACTTTCCTGGCGCAGGTGAGATCGAACCATTCCCCCCATTCCGCCAAAGCCTTGATCTGGTTGCAGAGTTGGCGAGTCAGGTCTCTTGGGTGTGTTATCGCTGATGTCAGGGGAAGAAGTTGTGCAGTCAGGGCCATTCTCGTCGATAGGTCTAAGATCACCTAGATCGGAATATCTCACTTCGGGGAGTGTTTCGAGGTGATCCTTCGTGGGAGTTGATGGCTTGTTAGATGCTACGCTAGAGTGCTGAAGCGGCGGACCATACTCGGTGGCCAGCGAAGTCGCAGATGAGAGCTCGTGCGAAGAGCGGTTCTCCCCTTCATCGCCAGACTCGCTGGCACTGGAGTTGGCATAGAAAGTCCTCACTCCGGGTCTAAAGGGAGACGCCTCAACGCTGGGCGCAGAAGAATGATCCACGCCGCGTTGCGCATCACTACTATAGTGAGATGAGGCGGACTCTGCTCGCGAACGATAGCTGGACTTTGATAGTCCACGAGCACGGCCCGCGGGCTCTGCAGGTAGAGGTCGACGCGGGGGTGATGCACGGCGCGGAGGCGGGGTCTCCCGTCCCTGATGCATTTGAAGTTGGCGGCGGGAGAATGCCTGCTCGTCGAAACCAGTGGCGGGTCGGTTGAACAAGCCCATGGCGGTAGCCTTTCCATGATCTTCTGGGTGAATTGATGCAGCCAACAGGGATGGAACCTCGTCGTTCTCACTCGTGGGAGGACTCAGGGGAGGAGCCCCAAACGTTGATGCTGTGGGCGAGAGACGGTCTCTCAACGCGGGTTCTCCGGACATGCGCGGCTTTGGTGATGTGGCGGATGAAGGAGGGCTAGTCGGCCGTGACGTAGAAGCCGGTTCGGCAATTGCAAGCTTTTCCAGGCGGTCCCGCAAGTTGGTGGCACTTCTAGAGTAGTTACGGTTCAAAGAGGGGAGATCTGGGGTGCCGGCACGCTGGCGACTCAGACTCTCCAGGCGGTTCAAGGTTGAGCTCTGCTGGCTCTGGGCAGCCTGAGTCAATCCTTGTCCATAGAGACGACGGCTCCGGATTGAACCATTGCGCGGGGCAGACATGGGGCCAGGACCGGGTCGAGGGGCCTCAGGAAGGGTTTCGGGGAACGGATACCCAGTCACTGAAGATTGGGATGTGTTCAACGACGACTCGTCGGCGAGGTTCCTGCGGTTGATGCTGGAACTGTTGACGTAGGCCCAGATGCGGTGGAGGAGTATGTGGCTCGGCTGTTAGATGAGGCTGTTGAGGCGGCATATCCAGATTCCCGAGCGGCCTCCGCCGATCTCTCTTCCTTCTCCTTGAGGCGCAACCGCTGGAACGCAGATAAGTTCATGTCATGGTCATAGACCGGCTTTCCCATTCCCCGGCGACTAGCCTCTGGCGCATCGGGGGTTGTCCCTGGTGACCTGACCGGGATCTTGTAAATCTTTTGGCGACCACCGAACAGATTATTGCCCTCAGCGCGACGGGCCCTGCTCATCATACTGCCCGCCTGCGATCGGTCGTCGTCTGTACCATATCCATCCCCACCGGAAGCGTAAGAAGCGGTGCGGTCGAGTGCGAAGGATGGTCGACTTCCGTCATTGGAGCTAACTTCGTCAATATCTGCCAGCATGGCGGGGCTGTGGCCGAACAAGTTGAGTCGCGAAGCGCGCTTGGGAAACAAAACGCTATCATCACTAGCCTTGCCTAGCATTGATAGTGGGTCGTCTTGTTCCTTCAGCATGCTAAATCGAGCGGACAATTTAGGCATCAGCAGACTGGTGCGGAAGTTGTCTGTCGGGGCAGTGCGGCTGATAGGTCGAAGTCTGGTTTGGGTTCCGGTTCTGCCTTCTTCTTCGATGGTTTCAGGCTGAATCCTGGCGATGTCGCTTCTTGATCCTCCGCGGCCTCCTTCGCCTTCTTGTGTTTACGGAATCGGTCCATCATCGTGAATGGTAGGCTCGAGGCGCTCAGGGGGCACCTCGTAATAGGAAAGGAATGAATGCGATTCGGTAATATTTAAGATCGGTTTGAATGAACGTCGTTAAATCCAGCCAGTGTGTAATAGCTTAAGTGTTGATCAGTGTCCTTGTTTGGCCCAATGCCTCCCGAAGTGACTCAATGGATATCGTTATCCAGAGAATGAAATGAGCGGCATGACCTTCAAGTGCAAGTGCAGATTGAGGTCAGGGAGAGAAATGTCTCCTGAAGAGAAGAGGCGCAAGGAATGCCGAGTTCACGTCGTGTACCGTGAATGGCCCAGATCCAAGACCAATCAAAAGTATTTCGCGGGGATTGACAGATCACAGCATGAGAGAAATAGGAAATATGCAGAGTCGAGAAGGGAATTCAAAAACGAGTGACTGGGGAAAATGACGCGAAGAATGCGATGAGAGGGGAGATTTGGAATGGATCCAGAACTGTAACTGTCCAAGACTCTCTTTTTTAGCGGCATACCATATTTACTAAGGAAAAAAAAAAGTAAAAAAAGGGATCTAGATGATCGTCTCAAATTGGTGTCCACCGATCAACATTACTGTTCGATGTTCTTGTTCTGACTATATTTTTCTTTTATACATATTATCTTCAGGTTTAATTGTACATATGCATGAACAATCTACATCTGTTTATTTACTGTTTCAGTCTGTTGTCTGTTGTATACTGCGTCCATGAGGCCCCAAGGGGCTTCCCGAGGCTGCATCCATGGTCCGATGCAGGTACGGTATGGTACAGCTACTCGGGGGAACAGTGCAGATTCTCCGAGAGATCAAGTATCCATCTGGAAAAATTACTGTAATGCATTTCACCCCCCCTTGCGTATAATAAAACTGAAATGTTAAGGATCACATCTCTCTCCCCCTCTCTCTTCTCTCTCTTCCCTCACTCGCTTCCGGAATGTGGAACCTGGGGCTGAGCGCCACCCTAACTGCGGGATAGGTTGGACATGTCGATGTGGCCAATTCTTTTCGAAACATGCAATTTGATGTCCCTCCGTATGTGTGTTTTCCCTACGGGGACTCCGTAATGAAAGAAAGAGAAAGACTTTTTCGCTAAGAAGTCCCGGGGGCCTGGACACGGGAAACACCAAGATCGTCGCCCCATTACTTCATTCCACAGTATTCCACAGTTCGGGGCAAGACTTTGATGTGGAAGGTGGTCACGGTTCATCCAATCTCTCATCTCAGGAAGAAGTACTCCGTAGGTTCAAGTCACACACAATATAACCCATTAGACTCCTTGCTTTTGCAGGAACCCGGCAGCAAGGGAAATTCATTGGTTGTGATCTACTTAGGCTAATCAGACATGTGATGTTGTACTACAATATGCAATGAAGGTAGAAGATGGGAGATTCGTCGCGATCATAATCTGCAACATGCCCATATGCTGTAGAGCAATATATTGAAAATACGACTTTTGAGAAATGAACAATGGCGTGTACATTGTAGGACAACTCAGCCACAATATAACCTTGGAAGGAAGCGTGCAATAATAACAGATTAGGCCAAGACCTGAATCCATGAATGTTCCGACTGTGCAGGGCCTTTTGCAGGGTGCAGGACAATGGTAGCACTCGACTCTGCATCTGATGAGGCTATGTCCACGGGTCCCTTCCGACTTCCTATTTCGGAATGGTTTGTGGACGAGGTCAGAGAGTAGCTGAACCATGGTAGATGCTCCGATATAGTCCAGTTCTCTCCACTTCAACGATTCCAAAGTTTTTCTGATAGTCTGTTCACCAAAGAGAATATCTTCTGTGTGGTGGAACCCATGAGATGGAGAAAGAACCAAAAGCCTAGAACGGGCAAAAAGGAGCGAATTTCTTTAGCGCGACAATTTGGCCGGTAGGCTTGACAGCCGTTTGGGAAGGCCCCGCTTAGCTTTTCAACTTCCGAGACTGGAAATTATTACTTAGGTAGCCCTAGAAAGTCCAAAAAAGAAATGGTAAACCGTCCGGCCTTAGTTGGTGGGAGTGCCCCTGACTAGTCCTAATTCGGATAGTAATTTTAACACTTCGTGTTTTTTTTTTTTTTGTTACACATTTGAAGACATACAGCTTTTATGTTTCAAATTTTTAGATATATGCTACAAGTATGAGACCCGAGAGAATTGATGCTATGTTTGATGTCATCAATATAAATCCACATGTTTGGACTCCGTATACGGAGCTTGAGAACGTACCGGAAAGCATCCAGGTCCTAAAGTTAACCAACGGAACAATCCGCGGGGCCAATCCTCGTGGCCCAAAAAGTTCGGTTTCATCCCCCCCCCCCCAAGAAAATAAAATCAAATCAAATCTCCGGTTTTGGACGTGCCACTGCCCTCAAAAAGTCCTACAAGAAAAATGCCATACACTGCACTACCAAGTGCCACTGGTAGTATATTGTCACCTTGCATTGATATATACTTCTAGAATGCATAGAAGCCAACACAATCTGATATCTGATATTCGCGATCAGCCCGGAATCTAGGAACCGATCGCGAATATCAATATCCGGAGCAATAGCCGGAGATCCAGGGGCCAACATGGAACACCAAACTGTTGGAAACTCAACAAAATAAAATGAACGAACATTATAACTGGAGCCCGATCCCCTCCCCTGTCGGGATGAGGGGTTGCTGAGACCGGGGCTTGCCACGGTCTCTCGCCCTCGACAATGTTCATGAAGTGCATAGAATTTACCAGGATAAATCGTATGACCAAGGCAGAATCTGCTCATTGCCTGCGAAATCCTTCGTAAAGATAGTGACTCTTTGGTCTCAGACATCGGGACCACTGTACTCCGAACGCACGCACATCATCCGCAAAGTATGTTGTAGGTTTGTGCCTGATTGTGGGTTTACCGAGTTTGAGGCGCTGTTTTACTCGGCTGAGGATAAAAAGGGTAAGCCTTGGAAACCCGCTACGAATTGGTGGAGTCGGCAGTTGGGTTTGGTGCCCGTCGAAATTCGATCCGTTAATTAAAGAAAACTTTCTCTAGAATACTGTTAATTTATTTCTGACGGGGCGTTGGGTTCTAGAACACAGAACTTGGCTTATTGGCTTAGCACTTTGCTGTAGGAACTCCCTCGACGTCATATCCTCGTGTAGGCCCTAATTACTCCGTAGAACCTTGACTATTCCGTGCTCGGTACGGACGATTTACAGTTTGGTGAATTGGACTGAAGATTTATTAGACCTGCCAAGAGATATGTTGTCGTCATCACTACAGTGCTTCCCAACATTGGAAAGCTAGATGTGCTCGAAACCGTCTCTTCGTTTCCTTGTTAAACCCTGTTTCGGAAATAAATAAAGGCATTGGAATAGCCATACCATGGTTGTATGGGCCATGCCCTGCATAAAACCACACATTTGTAAAGCCAAACAGACTACATATGTAGTTGGCAGGAGATTCGGTCGGTTGGAGACTTATAAGACCATCCAGACACGCTGTCTAGTATGGCGCACCTTGCAATGACATTTGCTTATCAGGGCAGCTTAGATGAGGCCGAGCAGCTTGGTACACATGGTGGAGATATACAAGCCTCAGTTCGGCGCGGACCATAACCTCACGCAGATGGGCATGGAAGATCTCGCGAAGTTGTATGAAAGGCAGGGCCGTTTAGAGGAAGCTGAGCAGCTTCAAAATGTCCATAATAGAGACAAGGAATGCTCAATTCGACGAGAATCATCCCAACACGCCGACAAATATCGGAAAACTCGCAGGAGCGTATAGAAAGCAGGGCCGTCTCGAGGAGGCTGAACAGCTTGCTATGCAGGTGATGGAGACACGTATCTGGGGAGGTCCATCCTGACATGCTCCTAAGCATGCGGGATGTTGCAATCATCTGGAAACGGAAACTTTCCGGCAAAACTGCAGATGCAATTCGTTTAATAAGGGATTGCCTAGCCAAGGAAGAACAAGTCATGGAATCTAGCTATCCTCGTGTGATGGGCAATTCTAAAATGTTACGGGAGTGGGAAGTCGAGGAAAACTGGACAGAAATAGAGTGGGAAAGCGAGGAGGAAACTGAAAAGGAAACTGAAGAGGATGATTGAATACCACAGGAGAGAGCCTATGCGGTTGTAATATAAAGGCTGACACAAACAATTGAAGAATAAGGCGTCACCATGAAATAATTGGACTGGCCTCAGATACTGAACCTGCAGATACCTCGAAGCTCGCAATCGTTCTCGTCTGTGCGAATATACTTGCGCTTCTGGCTTTGGGATCACAAGCAAGGCGTCGCTTTGTTATAACTGATTTCGAGCGTCCGTATATACAAACGAAGCGAAGACCTCTTATAGATAGACCGAAAGACGAGGATATTATCTCATAGTTTGCTCAGGATAGAATCATGCAAGATGTACCATTGACAAAAAAAGATACGAAAAAGCTGTACGCTCGCTCAACTCTCCATCACACACAGGGACCACCATACCCCGTCTCACATTACCACACCGAATCCAGATGATTCGCGAGAGGGGAGCAGGACAGGAAAAGGGAGAAAAAAGGGAGAAGAATATAGAAGACAGGGGAGAAATGAGGCTCCTTTTCATTCATACATGATCCCACCCAATCTAGAAGGGGCAAGCAAAAACACAAAAGAAAGGGGTCGTCTGCTCATAGCGCAATAACTGCAACAAAAATATCGAACTCTCAAACCAGAATCCTTTCGTCCAGTTACTTACTGGTTCCCCAGCCCACCCAGCTACGGGGCATCACTCGCCAGACCTTGCATTCACCACTACGGAGGTCGTTTAGCTTGAAGCTCTCCATCTTGACCTTCTTGCTCTCGCGGCCTTGCTCCCAGGCTCGGATCTTCTTCTTCGTGCCATCCCAATCGACCACGATGCCGACGTGGTCGGGCTTTCCAACCTCGGCGGTGTACTTCTGGTGCATGGTGCCGCGGTGGCCCTGGAATCGGGCGTTGCGGAAGCTGACAATGTCACCAGCGCGGATTTCGTCATTCTGAGACACGGAGGCATTGGCCAGGTTTGAATAAACCGCGGCGCCGTATCCGCGGGTGCCCACGGGGAGCAGCGCGTCGGTAAGGGGATTTAGCAGGTGCTGAACCAGGCCGAATGGAGTGCCGTCTCCAACGGTAGAATTTTGGACTGAGTTAACGGCCTCCGAGATTCGGGTTCCAAGCTGAATATGAGCCTGCTCCAGCTGGTCCTGGCGAAGGGTGAGCGGCGGGGGTTCATGGCGCTGCTCGAAAGAAGCATCCGCGGGGTTTTTGGGGTCGAATTGGACATTCAAGACTGTCTGAGAGTAGTCGATGAACAGAACATAGACATCTTTCGAAACTGTTGTTTTGCCACTGCGGTTCGTGGATGAAGTCTCCTCGATCTCGAAAAGCAGATCAGTGCGGTTCTGGAAAGCCGGAGGCGGGGTGTTCGGTTTAGTCCACCAGAGCGTATATGTGGCGAAATCAACATCGGTGGCGATGTAGCCTTGGTCAATAGATGGGCGAGTAACATCCATAGACCGGCGAACGCTAGGCTGATTTCTTAGAAGATCCATAGATGCGCGCTGAGTTCGGGCTGCGGACGGGGATGGCAAACCCGAAGCCTGGCTTTGGGGAGGCTGGGGCGCCAGTGAAAGACGCTTCTCATTCAATGTAGATGGTCTTTCTTTTACCGGGCTTTGCACGGGAGGTGCATCGTAGAGATCATCATATTCGTCGGCCGCTTGTTGTGGTGGGACAGGAGGAGGAGCCTCTGGGCGACCGAGCGGGACGGGCGGAGATGTGGGGACACCATGTCGGGGAGCAGAGTAGTTGAAAGGGTCATACTCAGCATCATCATCGCTGGCCGGCTCCCTGTTCGGCGGAGGAGGCGGCGGTCCCCCTAGGTGTGTCGATAGAAGCACGGGCATTCCGGGGCGGCTGGCTTGGAGGTGGAGGCGGAACTGCCCTGGGAGCCGTGGGTGGAGGAGGCGGGGGATGTCGAGATTCCTGGGGGCTGCGCGGGGATTGAATGGAATGGTCGTCGGTGATAATACCCTCGTCAAAGCTGGAGTCACGCTCGTGAGCCTTTAAAGCATCCTTATGCTTCACACCGGATGCGATATCAGTGTCGTAGTCTCCATCATATTCAGTCACCTCTCCTTCCGCTTCTTCTCCAGCCTGTCGAGGAGCAGATAACGCACTCGTGCGACTATCGGCGGTAGATCGGCGACGAAGCTGGTCGGGAGGCGGGGGAGGGGGAGCACGGCCCTGCGACGGTGGCGGCATGGGCGGGTTGACTGGAATAGGGGGTGGTAGACGACTAGCTCTCTTTTCAGCCGTAGGGGTCGCAGCCGTAGAGGACACGGGTTCATATGTTGAGGAACGACGAGAGTCAATCTGATCAGGTATCGCGGGGGCAGGCACTGCCGGTGGAGCAGCCGAGTTATTCAATGACAGATTAGATGTGTGCACCGACAATTCATCATCAGACTCTTCACCCTTGTCGGCAGTCGTGGGCCGTGGTGGGGGAGGAACTGGTCGGCCTGCATAAATCGTTAACGCCCGCGTCAAATACTTCGTTTCGGGATTTGTTTACATACCTGCAGGAACGGGCGGAGGGGAAGCCGGTGGTTCATCTGGGACAGTCGGAACCGGTCTTGACTCTCGGGGAGGCGGAGGAGGTGCCGAACGATCTGGGATTGTCAGGAATTGAAACCATGCATTAGGCTACTGGAGAATATCTTACCTTGAGATGGCGGAGGCGGGACCGGACGGTCAATAGAGGCACGAGGCAGTGCACCTTCGTGGACGACCTCCTCCACGTCTGGCACCTCGCGTGCAGAGTGTTGCTCTGTGATCGGAGTTGCCGAGGGCTCTTCCTCTTCTTTCTCCACTTCAGCGGAAGAAGATACCGGCTTGCTAGCCACGTTCATACCAGGAAGGGGGATCATAGGAACTGGGGGCGCGTTGGCAGGGTAAGTGGGCTCAGACTCGAGCTCTCCAAGCTTCTTCTCTGACTCGCCGGGGGTCTTGGCCTTGCGAGCGACACCGGCACCAGACATGCCTGGCATACCTCCGGCAGGCGGGCCGAATAGACCCATCATACCCATTCCGCCGCTCATCTTGGCCATTCGCTCACGCAGTTCCATTCTGCGCTTGGTCTCAGGATCCATTTCCTCCTCTTCCTCTTCCTCTGCATCCCCCTCGTCTTCAGCATCTGCCTCGGCAGTTTGCTCGACTGCACGAGTCGACGGTTGACGCTGGGAGACTGGGCGAGGCTGAGGCTGATCTTCCTCGTCATCCTTACTGGCAGAGGTTTCGCCCGCATCCTCGGAGTCTGCAGCGGCGGAGTAGTCGGCGTCATTAGCGTCACTCGCAATTTCTTGAGTGGGCGAGAATGGGGTAGGGGGCTGTGGAGGAGGGGCCGCAGCCCTCAATGTATCAACACTAGGATCCCGAGCAGCCGAGGATTCTTCGACAGAGGGAGATTCCTGTTCCTCGTCGACGACTGGGGGTGCCACAGGTTCATCCATTGACTTCTTAGGAGGGCGGGAGGGTTTCTCTTTCTTCTGAGCTGCTTCCGCATGACGCTGAGCTTGCTCTAATTGCTGCTTCTGAAGCAAAGCAATTCGGTCTTTCAGACTAGTTGGTTTGGGCTGATCCTCTCCCCCTCTTCGCCGCCTTCAACGGGAGCAGGCCGGCTTTCAGAAACAGGAGGCTCACGGGCAATTTGCTCCTTCACATCAGGATCCTCCTCTCTTTTGTAGATCCTGGGTGCAGGTTCCCTTGGTGGAGGCTTGTAGGCGTCACGGCTAGGAGGCGGCGCGACAAAAGGCTTCTTGATGAAGGATGGCTGGGAACCGCCCGGTTTGAATGGCGTAACTGGTGCTGCTGCGGGTTTGTTGAAGGCGGCAATACGATCCCTGAATGATGAACCCGAAGGCTTCTCTGCTACAGCGGGAGGCGCGGGTTTGGGGGCGGCCTTGGCTGCGGGTTCAGTTGGGGCCACCGGAGGGGCGGGAGCAGGAGCAGGCACCTTCGCCGGCTGCGGAGGCGAGGATGCAACTTCTGCTATAGGAGCACTCGCATGTGAAGGAGGAGACTGGGGCGCAGGTGGCTGCGGTGATGTAACCTCATAATCTTCCTCCGTGGGCTGCACTTCGGGCTCGGGCTCGGGCTCAGCCTGCTTGCTTTCGACCACGGGGGACTCCACTGGCGCCGCCTCAGGTTCCTTTTTGGGTCTGGGTCGAGATGGTCTCGGAGGGGCAGGAGGCTCATATCGTTCAACGAAATTCTTCGGGAATATGCCCTCCCGCTTAGTTCCCTGGGCGTCTGAGTATTCACCGTAGTACCAATCGTCGTCCTCGAGGGCGGTGACGGTCACGATTTGACCGATCGGGAAGTTGAGGTCATCATCGTGGTCCGAAGAATACTCGAAGACCGAGCGGACCGTAAAGGGTGGACTTGACATCTGGCAAGTCGAGACCGATGTTCAGACCTTAGGACAATCGGTGTGGAGTGAGGAATGCTGAACGAGTCTGTGACGCAATGACGCTAGAATATCTGTACAGAGCGAATCGCCAGCCCCAATACCTTTAGCATGTAGAGATATTTAGAGCGAAACGAATCAATTCTTTTGTGGTACCAAGGCATGTCAGCTTAGATGAAACGGTCGTCAATGGGTGGGTGCCTACGAGGAGATGGGGGGGAGAGGGGAACAGCGGAAGCACTCACGGCGTGGAGAACCGAACACCCTGTCCAGGGCCAGCAAAGAATCGATGCAAGATGAAAAAAAGAAAGAAAAAAGAACACACGGTCGGAAAGACAAAAAAGTAGTAGGGGAGGAGGATGGTAGTGAGGTGGTCGTCACTTGGCGGGATGAGGGAAATGGCTCCACTGGGCGATCGGCGGCTAACACATCAACCAGGGAACACGCACATGGGGGGAAATGCCCAGCTATTTGAATATCAGGAGATTTTATACTGGTTTTAGATGTAGTCAAATTTCTTTTTCAAGGGATATTAGGTAGCTTGGTATATGTAGCTAGGTACCTGGACGGCTACAGACGTCGAACTTATACAGGTGAAGAGAAATATTCTACATACCTAAATCATGTCGAGCATATGTTATACTATATGTAGGAGTTATATGATTTATGTACGATCTATGCGATCCAAATATCATAGATGACATCTCCCATAAAAACCCTCCAGAGCTGGATGCCCAAAGCCTACGTCAGCAGTGAGGTGTCTCTCCTCCCATTGGGGGTCAATCCGGGGTTTTGCCTCTTCCGCTTTGAACCCGAATTCTGCTGGTTTTATATTTTTTTTGCCTATCTGGTCTCGCTTCACAACTCATCCTATTTTCAGTTCAGATTACCCTCTAGACTATCTTACAGGGCCTCAATTCTAAATCATGGCACAGCAAGGGCCAAGTCACCCTCTCAAGACCTCTCTCCCCGAGACATATGCCGCCGTCAATGCCCAGCAACCCCCACCTTCATACCTATACCCTACACAAGAAGAGCAAGACAGATACCTAGCAGGTAGGCCTGGTGCAACCCAGCAGCACCTCGAAGTCGCCCTGCAACATGCGCAGCAGATTCAGACCCAAAAAGAAGCCGAAGATGCCATCCTAAACCGCATCCTTGAGCTCATTGAGCTCCCCTCCTCCCCGACAGCGGACCCTGCCGCACCGTCCCAAGAAGATACTGTAAAACTCAAATACTCGCTTGCGCCATTCCGTCCTAGCGACTACGACAATCTAATCCTGGAGCGAAACTTCGAAGACTTGTGCGGGTATGCTCTATGTCCTCGCAAGCATCGCAAACAAGCCACCGGCCCACGAGGCGGGTTCCAATTTAAATACGGCCCCAAAGGAAGCGGGCCAGGGGGACGCGGACGGAGCGTGGATATCGTTTCCCAGGACCGCATTGAAAAGTGGTGCTCAGATGCATGCGCAGAGCGTGCTCTTTGGATCAGGGTGCAACTATCCGAGAAGCCTGTGTGGGAACGACGGGCGGGTGATACGCGGGGCACAACTATTCTACTGCTTGAGGAAGCTCGCGCCAAGCGCTTGAAGGCACCAGCGGCTACTAGCAGTGTCTCTTCCGTTGTGGATGATTTGCAGAGCATGGGACTTGGGAACCGCGATCGGTCCGGGGAGCTTGCGTTGGAACGCGGCGATACCAGCTTAATTCGTCCGGATGGACGTGTTGACGTCAACATCAGAGAAAATCAACGTGGTTCCCAGCAGGTTGCTGGCGCTCCACAGATGCGCCCGGAGGATGCAAGTGGCGGTTCCATTGAAGGATACGTGCCCAGGGAGCGACGAGGCGCGGATCAAGATGGAGACATAGATTTGCTCGATCAGATCTGATGATATAGCAAAGTTGCTATACGACTTCCAAGGGGGTTTTCGGCGTTCTACATTTTTTTTTTAAATACCCGGTCAATGTTGCCATTGACACATGAGTAATGAACAATCTACGCAGAAACCATATGTATGGATATAGTCTGGCCAGCAGGACTTCTACCTACATAGAATATGTAGGTACAAACCCAGACATGACTCAGACCACCCAAGGTCTCGAGTCTCTCGGACTGAGGTAGCCCCCCCAGTCCAAAAACTCCTACGCAGTCAAACCTAGAGAGTAAACTCATAGGTAGACACGAGGGGAAAAAAATTGGCAATCAAGCGTCATCTCCTTTCGGAGAATCAGCGACACCTTTCTCAAAGAGAATCATGTTTATTCATTCCTCATCCAGGAATAGCCCTCCACACTAAGCTAAACCATGCTAGCCGAGCGAAAAGCCAGCCAGAACAGACATTGTCGGGGTACCGCCAGGGTCGACCAAAGGCCAGGTATGAACTTTTTTTTTTCGTTATTTCGGGCGCTGGATTTAGCGGGGACCGAAACGACGGGGGCGCTCGGCCTGCTGCTGCTGGCTGACAGCAACAACGTTGACCTTGAGGTTGTCGAACTGTACAGAGATATTAGATAGATGCAAAGGTACTGTAGAGTGTAGTGAAACTTACGCCCATGGACTTGAGGAGGTCCTTGGTGTCGGCGTCAACGTCGAGCTGGCCAGACTCGGTCTGGGAGACGTCGAGAGCGGAGACCTCAGGAACGTACTGATCCTTACGCTCACGCTCCTCCTCCTGAAGCTTGAAGGAGATACCGCGGACGGGACCACGCTGGATGCGCTTCATCAAGTGGGTAGTGTAACCAGCGATCTAGAAGAAACTTGGAATCAGAATTGGAGATCTCGAGTGTCGGTGCCAATTTATTGAATCTCACCTTGTTGCGAAGACGCTTGGAGGCAATGATGGCGATCTCATCACAGATGCGCTTGTTGGTCTCGAAGTCGAGGGTCAACTTGGGGTAGTAACGCTCGATGATGACCTTAGCGGAGCGCTTGACTGTCTTGGTACGGACGCGACCCATTTTGGCGGTTGTTGGCTGGCGGAATGAATGTTCGAAAGATCGAGAGTAGTCGTGCCGATTTGGGTGACTTTGAGAGTCGGCATTCGCTTAGTCTGTGCGGGTCCTTGCCCTAGGCCCTAACCACCAAGTCACGTGCCTTGCATGTTTTATTGGATTATGTAATTCTCTAAGTTAAGGATCCATGGATCGCGCTTGCTCTTTTAGGAAGGTAGCAAGCACATCAAAACTACGGAGTACATGTACCTAGGTACATCCTCAAGTATGCGATTATTGAACTTATTTGTTTCTTATTCTCCCTTCCGATGGAGGATGGACCTTTGCAATGATCGCTGTGAAAATAACTTGATATTGATGCATCCGATTTATATGACATAGTCAGAAAAGAAAAATGAGAGTAGCTTTACACAAGCACCAAATCTATCATACATGGTACAATCCCTTGCACATCCGCCCATATTTATTTTCCCTATGACCTGGAGTTGAGGTTGTTAAGAAGGCTGCGAGCGACGTCCTCCGTCCCTCTTGTGGGTTGCCTCCGGCCCCGGTTCTCAGTGGAAGGCTGGAAGCGAGGCTGGCCGAATGGCTGTCTGTCCAATCTAGGGACTAGCGGGGATGGCGCAGTGGCAACATCGGAGATGGTCAAGGTACTCGGCTTGTGGTGGTCTTCGATTCCGTAGGGGGCTTTGGCGGTTGCACTGGCACGATAAGATGAAAGGCCAATGCGGCCGTCGGAGTCAACCGAAGCCCGGATGGGAGTGACCCAGTATTTACCTCCGCCAGGATGGACGCATCGAAGAAAGTTAGACCTGGGGGTGTGCCTTGCTCCACAAAGGTCATGGCATTCAAGTCTTCGACGGCAATACCACCGATACCTGCGAGGGCCCGAGCCATGCGTCCCTTAAAGCGACCCTTAGGGCGCAAGATGCGAGCCTCCACAGGGCGCTGGTGGGCTTGTGGACCAAACTGGGCATGGTTGTGAATCAGAGCATGTGATCGTGTGTAGGATAGACCGGCAGACGGGTGCGTCTTCGGGGGTCCTGAGATGGCGTATTCGAATGAGGACAACTTGCTTGCAGGGGATTGGTAGTACTTGCGCCCGATACGCTCGCTGGGGACGGCAGGGGAGGAAGCAAGGTCAAGTAGTTCAAAGACCACAGGGCCGAGAGCGAATGGGTCATTACGCAGGCTTTTAATGTAGGCATTGAACTCCGCATCGGTGACAGTTGCGGGATGAGCTTCCAAGTCTTCTCCATTATCCTGCGCCTGTTTCCGGATCTCAGCAGACCGCTTAGCGACAAACTGTTCACGAAGCTTCTGCAGGAGCTCAGGCTTATTGCGAGCAACTTGCTTCAAGTAAGCTGCGAACTCTGCCTCTGTCTGCCCAGCAAGCCAAGGACCGGAGTGTCTGAATTGTTTGGCACCAGGTTCCTGGAGACCCTGGCTGGTCTCGGTGTTATCCAGGTGCGTTTCGAACGGACTTTGATGCCTTGGCACAACACTTGTAGCATAATTGACTTTGGAGGGGAGAGACATCGGCATGTGTAGCTCCTGGAACTTCTCGAGGGTCATAGTGTGGTCTGCGGCGGATTCGAAGTCGGTGACATGTTCATAGGTATCGAGAGCGTGCACCCTGACGACAGGTCGCGATGATTTCTCTGATGTCGACTTAGCCGGTAAAGGTCGTTTCAATCCCCAATCGCCTCGGGCTAGTGATGATTGCGGTGTAACGATGGAGGCTCGAATAGGGTGAGGCAGAGTTGCGGTGTCGGATTCTTTCAATGTTTGGTCATTGCGGCGCTTGAGAGTTTTAGGGAGTGCGAACAAGCGCGAATTTCGCAGCAAGTTCGCCGTTGGCGATAGCCTGGCGGAGGCCATATTGCTCAGTGGATTGACTATGTGATCTTGAATAGCTGGCGCGAGAAAAGTTGACCGGAGAACACGGGCCAAAGCGGTACGGTGGGCCATAACTACCAAACCCGCGGTTTTGTATCTATAGAAGACCTCGGGCACCAACTTTTGCACGTAGATTGTCTTCAATCCTGATATGTAATATTAGGGTGGAGCTTGGCAAAATCTATTGCTTAAAATTACTCTGGTTGGCCTTACTGTGGAAGAAAAATTGATTTCTTCTATTACAAGGTATCCTTCAATTCAATGCAGATCTATGAGACGAACAAGACAACGCCGTTTCTAAGCACCAACAACTAGAAGAGAATCGATGGTGTCTGAGACAGTCTGCTTCAGTGGGCGGTACTTGAGTCCAAGGATCTTTTGCGACTTATTGTTGTCAATCTCATAGATGTTTTCCGGGAAGTCGCTGGAAGAGTCTGCAGGGGCAGCTTAGACTCTAACTTGGGGTGGGTCTCACGAGCAATATCTGCAAGTTCCTTGTTTGAAAAGAAGCCAGCGACGACAAAGAACCTCTCCCCTCCTGCTTCAGGAACTTCGATGGCTCTGACATGGGCGAGGGCCACATCACGCACATCCACCCACAGGAAATTGCCCGTTGGTGCTATTTTCTCCTTCATTTGACCCTGGATGAGGTTTCTCAGGCGCTGGTTCGACGTGTTGAGACTCTCAAGGGAGTTGAGATAATGAACGATTGGGCCAAACACCAGTGGTGGATTGATGGTAGCAATATTGAAATTCGGTTTCTCCTTCTCGATGAACGTCCATGCTGCTTTTTCCGCAAAGGTCTAATAAGGTACTGACTTAGTGCTTGCACTTACTCAGACTGACCGGCAAGTATCACATACCTTACTACCACGGTAAACTTGCGAGTGGTCCATTGCCTCCTCCCATGTCACCGGATTCCATTCTTTCTCGCTGTAGACCTTGGGGTGCTGCTTGCCGTTCACAATAGCAGCAAAAGATGACGTGATTACCACTCGCTTCACGGTAGGGGCGTACTCTTTGATTGCCTTCAGGATACCGGTCGTTCCCTTGATGGCTGGATCAAGGAAGTCTTTCACAGGATCCTGAACATTAAAATGGAAAGGAGACGCGGTGTGGAGAACATAGTCAAAGGGAGGATTTGATTTGACGGCCTGTTATATTTCCGTTAGTCGGGGTACTTGTTAGGGGAATGATATTCGCTAACATCATCAAATGCACCGTCCTTGGCTACATCCTTGACAATCACATAAGAGAGTTTTTCCTTCGGTACGTTGGGGTGTGCCTCAATAATGCGCTTGCCCTTCTCCTCTGTTCGAACAGTAACAACTGTATCAAAACTAGAGTGAAACTGTCAACCAATGATATCTATTTTTGTGTTGGCGAGGTCATACCCATGCTGTAGCAGAATGTCGACAATGTGGGCGGCGATGAAGCCACTGCCTCCTAAAGCAGACAATTAGATTGGGCTCGAAAGCAGATTAAAATCACATACCAGTCAAGAGAACTTTAACCATTATGAGAGATAATATATGAAGTTATTGAGTATGAGACGTTCAAGAATTAGGATAGATAGGCGAGTGAGGTTGGCCTTTTATGGTTCCCCTCGATCCCGTCATTCCCCGCAAGCCTATTACGCCCTGGAAAGCTTCCAAGGTTTACCAGCGATTACAAATGCAAGCTCGGTGTTTAATGGAGTTAAGGTATCAATGCAATTCAGATAAATCCATACCTTCGGGGAAAAGAGCTTTAGCCTATGGGTACTCAGTATATCTTCTTGTACAATAAGAGAGCCCTACATGATTCAATCCAACCTCCCTAGACAGTGTTCTCTATAGTTATACAGTATCTATTGAACCCACCGAACCCATCGAACTCGGAATTACTAGCACCAAGCCCTGGAGGCTTCTTATATGTTTATTCTGACGGTGGGAGCATGCTCTACATAGTCTTGGCAACGAATGGGATATTATAAGTTGCTGAACTATGCAAACTAATATGTGATGTCGGTTATATACCCGGTGCACTCAGTGCTTCAGAGCTTTGATATCTGCTTGGCATTCTTGATTCAAGGTCTGGGAAATAATTCACTGGATTATATGTTCGCATATATGCCTGTATTTATATTAATATCTTCAGGCTATCTGAATCGTGAATGCCAACGGACCCTTTGAGTGACGTATTTGGTGTTGGGGATAATATGATTTCCCAAACATACCAGAATCTCTCAAAATCTGAGGTTATCTGTAGTATATTGTCAAGGTCAATAAATATCAAGATGGTGTGTAATGATTGTTTGTAGAGTGGTTGTAGATGGTCGAGGGTGCCAGAGTCGCACGGAGTCGGGAACTCCAAACTTGGCCCGTGCACCCCTCGACCTTCTCCAAGCCTCACACATGACCCTCCCTCTACCATCCAACTTTATGCGCTCTGCGTCCTATTTTATGGCCTAGACCTTGCATTCCAATGTCCACCCTGGGGCGTGTTTTGCAAATATGGCCCAAGCAGGTGCAATCACAGACGTGACCCAAAGATTGTTTGTGGAGCTCAAGTCGAAGAATGAGGAGGCCAGGGCCAGAGCTGCCTACGAGCTCTACGATAATGTCCTATCTGTGTCCAGAGGTATTACCGGTTGAACTCTAGACCTCTCACTAGCTGACATATCTCCTTGTGCAGATTGGCCCTCGGAGAAGTTCGTGGAATTTTACAACGCCGTTAGCCAACGCATCGCCCAACTCGTGGTCAACGGTAGCGATGCAAACGAAAGAATCGGTGGCTTGTTAGCACTCGACCGACTCATTGACTTTGACGGAGTTGATGCCGCCCAGAAAACGACGAGATTCGCCAGTTACTTGCGCAGCGCCCTTCGCAGCAATGATAACGTGGTCCTGGTGTATGCGGCCCGATCGCTGGGCCGACTCGCGAAGCCCGGCGGGGCTCTAACCGCAGAACTGGTGGAAAGCGAAATACAATCTGCATTGGAATGGCTACAATCGGAACGACAGGAAAGTCGGCGGTTTGCAGCAGTGCTGGTGATCCGGGAACTGGCCAAGGGCTCACCAACTCTCCTCTACGGCTTCGTTTCGCAGATATTTCAGCTTGTCTGGGTTGCCCTTCGAGACCCGAAAGTCCTCATCCGTGAGACTGCCGCCGAGGCCGTCGGCGAATGCTTTGAGATAATTGTGGCTCGTGATTCTCAAGTCCGTCAGTCATGGTTTGCACGGATACACGATGAAGCACTTCTGGGCTTGAAGTCCCATAACATTGATTGGATCCATGGCTCCATCTTGATCATCAAAGAGTTGATCTTGAAGGGCACGATGTTTATGAAAGAACATTATCGGAATGCTTGCGAAATCATCCTCCGTCTCAAGGACCATCGTGACCCAAAGATTCGCACTGAAGTCGTCCTCACTATCCCCATTCTCGCCTCATATGCCCCAACGGATTTTACTGAGATCTATTTACACAAATTCATGGTCTACCTCCAAGCGCAACTCAAGAGAGACAAAGAGAGGAACTCCGCTTTCATTGCCATTGGTAAGATTGCCAATGCAGTGGGCACCGCTATTGGCCAATACCTCGATGGCATCATTATCTACATTCGAGAGGGACTTGCGATGAAGGCGAGGAATCGATCAGGAGTTAACGAGGCGCCAATGTTTGAGTGCATCAGCATGCTGTCCCTCGCAGTGGGACAAGCGCTCAGCAAATACATGGAAGCACTTCTGGATCCCATTTTTGCCTGCGGGCTGAGCAAATCACTAACACAGGCTCTGGTCGACATGGCCCACTACATCCCTCCCATCAAACCCATGATCCAGGAAAAGCTTCTTGATATGCTGAGTATCATCCTGTGTGGAACGCCATTCCGGCCCCTTGGGTGTCCTGAAAACCGACTACCTCCTATGCCATCATTCGCAAAAGACTTTGCTCCCCACGAGCTTCACTCCGATTCTGATATCGCTTTAGCACTTCATACGTTGGGAAGCTTTGACTTCTCTGGGCACATACTAAACGAGTTCGTGCGTGATGTTGCTATCAACTACGTGGAAAATGACAATCCCGAAATTCGAAAAGCATCGGCTCTTACATGCTGCCAGCTGTTCGTTCACGATCCGATCATCAACCAAACCAGCGGACATTCCATTCAGGTTGTCAGCGAGGTTATTGACAAGCTCTTAACTGTGGGTATCGGAGACCCTGACCCTGAAATCCGACGCACCGTTTTGTGGTCGTTGGACCGCAAATTTGATCGGCACTTGGCACGACCAGAGAATATTCGATGCCTGTTCTTAGCCGTCAATGATGAGGTTTTCGATGTCAAAGAAGCCGCGATCTGCATTATCGGTCGACTTTCTAGCGTTAACCCTGCTTATGTCTTCCCGCCGCTACGAAAGCTGCTGGTCAATCTTCTCACCGGTCTTGGCTTCGCGAATACCGCCCGCCAAAAGGAGGAAACAGCTCAACTCATCAGCTTGTTTGTCTCTAATGCGACGAAATTGATCAGGTCATACGTTGATCCCATGGTGACTGCCTTGTTGCCTAAATCAACAGACATTAACCCCGGCGTTGCTGCCACTACTTTGAAGGCTGTCGGTGAGCTCGCAAGTGTCGGCGGGCATGAGATGAGACAATACCTGCCTCAGATTATGCCAATTATTCTGGACTCGCTCCAGGACCTTTCGTCGCATAACAAGCGTGAAGCTGCGCTTCGGACATTGGGACAATTGGCCAGCAATTCAGGCTACGTCATCGAGCCATACATGGAATACCCTCATCTTCTCGCCGTTCTCATCAATATCATCAAAACCGAACAGACAGGCTCTTTACGCAAGGAGACCATCAAACTTGTCGGAGTACTCGGTGCCCTTGATCCCTACAAGTACCAACAGATCAGCGAGATTGAACCTGATGTACACCATATCAACGAAATACAGAATGTTTCTGATGTTGCCCTCATTATGCAGGGTCTCACGCCCTCCAATGAAGAGTATTATCCCACAGTGGTCATCCATACTTTGATGCAGAACATTCTACGTGAGAACTCCCTGGCGCAATATCACTCAGCTGTCATTGATGCCATCGTCACAATTTTCAAGACTCTGGGCTTGAAGTGTGTCCCGTTCCTTGGACAGATTATTCCAGGGTTCATTCTGGTTATCAGAAGCGCTCCTGCTAGCCGCCTCGAGTCCTATTTCAATCAGATGGCAATCTTGGTGAATATCGTGCGACAACATATTCGCACTTTCCTGCCAGAGATAATCGAGGTCATTAGAGATTTCTGGGACGCTTCATACCAGATCCAAGGTACCATTTTATCCTTGGTCGAGGCCATTGCTAGGTCATTGGAAGGAGAATTCAGGAAGTATCTTGCTGGCCTGATTCCTTTGATGCTCGATACACTTGATAAAGACACCTCACCTCGTCGACAGCCCTCTGAGAAGATTCTCCATGCCCTTTTGATTTTCGGCACAAGCGGAGAGGAATACATGCATCTCATCATTCCTTCCATTGTTCGTCTGTTTGATCGGCCACAAAATCCTCAGAGTATCCGTAAATCCGCTATCGATAGCTTGACAAAACTATCGCGGCAAGTTAACGTCTCTGACTTTGCATCCCTAATGGTTCATTCATTGTCACGAGTCGTGGCTGGCGGTGATCGTGTGTTGCGTCAAGCTGCGATGGACTGCATTTGTGCCCTCATTTTCCAGCTCGGACAAGATTTCACGCATTACATCCATCTTCTAAACAAGGTCCTAAAAACCAATCAGATCGCGCATACCAACTACCAAATCCTGGTGACCAAACTCCAAAAGGGCGACCCGCTCCCGCAGGACCTCAATCCAGAAGAGGTCTATTCTTTCCCCACCGATGACACCAACTTTTCCGAAATTGGACAAAAGAAGATTGTTGTGAACCAGCAACATCTCAAGAACGCATGGGATGCTTCACAAAAGTCCACTCGTGACGATTGGCAGGAATGGATACGCCGTTTCAGCATTGAGCTGTTGAAGGAATCACCATCTCCGGCATTGCGTGCATGTGCTAGCTTAGCTGGTATATACCAGCCCCTCTCAAGGGATCTTTTCAATGCTGCTTTCGTCTCGTGCTGGACTGAGTTGTATGATCAATACCAAGAAGAGCTTGTCCGCTCAATTGAAAAGGCGCTTACTTCTCCTAACATCTCCCCAGAGATTTTGCAAATTCTCCTCAATCTGGCCGAATTCATGGAGCATGATGACAAGGCTCTTCCCATTGACATCCGCACACTTGGAAAATATGCTGCAAAGTGTCATGCTTTTGCTAAAGCTCTTCACTACAAAGAACTGGAGTTCGAACAAGACCAGAACTCGGGTGCGGTTGAAGCCTTGATTACCATTAACAACCAGCTTCAGCAGTCCGACGCCGCCATCGGTATCCTTCGCAAAGCGCAGGCGTATCGTGATGTGGAGCTCAAGGAAACTTGGTTCGAGAAGCTTCAACGGTGGGACGAAGCCCTTGCTGCTTACAAGCG